GGGGATATTAAGGGATTGCAGAACATTTTCCCCAAAGTTGCGTTATCACCTTTTTTTTCTCCAATCTTTTTGCATCACATTCTGGAAGAAAATAAACTAGGTATGATTTTCCCACAAGGCAGATGGTACCATTTAAAGAAAGAGATGGGTTTTGTGGGGCTTATGAAAGTTTCATCTGAACTTTCCCTGATCTATAAGTTTTTTAGAAGCAAAGAAATGTAGGCAGTTATGCCATGATTATACCCAGTAGGTAAAAAAGAAGCACTGAAATTACATTTCTGTAAATCAACTACATTTCAGTGAACTTTCCAGGGCATTTTGGTTGTGACAGGCTGTTTGCCGTAGATTTAAGAAGAAAGTCAGAATACAGGACTGCAAAGTCAAACTCCTTTCTCTAGAAACAGACAAAGCCTTTCTATGTCTGCCACAGGGCTCCAAATTGAAAGGAAACTAGTACACATTTTAGCCCAGAACTATTAATATATGGATAGTGAGGCCCCAAAGGGTTAAGTGGGACAGCTGCTATTACAAGGCTACTTAGAGGCAGTGTCATGACAAGAATTCAGGAATGCTGATTCTTAGAATCAGACTTTTCCCAGGATCACGCTACTTGTCACTTTTCTAAATAAAAATACTTGCATCTTCATATTGAAAGTGACCCAAGAGTTTCCAGAACACATATTATTGATAGTTGTTCAATTTTGTCAGCTTAGCGTGTGTTTGGAGAATTAGTTTTTAATTCTTACTCTATAAGGTTTGGGAAAGTCAGAATCCTTCTGTAACTTCAGGGCAAATGATTCAGATCTGGCAAATCAAGTTCTTATCACTCTGGAATTGAGAACTGGTATAGGGTTGGGCACATAACCACAGCTCAGCCAGTCAGAACACTATTCAAGACTGTTACTGGAATTAGCAGGAACTAGCAAGAATGCTTGCTAATATATCTGGCATATAGAACAAATGAGACCCAAGGGTTCTAGTTAATATACAGCTTTGTTTTTATCTCCTGCTGTCCCATGAAAATGTATTTAGTGGGAGAAGTTTTTCTGACCCTGCATGAAAATTCTCACAGACCTACAATTTTTTTTCACTCTCAGAAAATAAAAAGTTCTTTATACCTTTGTGGACAAAAAAAAAAAAAAAAAAAAAAAAGCAAAATTCTGTAAAATATTTGAAGAAATTTATTCTCAGCCAAATGTCAAGACCATGACCCATGACACAGCCTCAAGAGGCTCTGAGAACATGGACCCTAGGTGATTGGGTTACAGCTTGCTTTCATACAGTTTATTATTCATTATCCTGTCATAAAATTGGCTGTAGCAGTCACACTATCTGGGGATCTGGGTGTGATAGGGTAGACCTAGCCTTCATTACTTAGAGAGCCAGACAGAAATATTCCTGAGAGCTCAGGAGACCCTCTAGGTGTGGATGTTTGATTAAGGAGGGTCAAATAGAGACTAAAGCAGTCTCAAGTAGGACAATGACCATCGCCAAGAGCTTTTGAGCTTTAACTGTTTCAAATTTCCTGTGTGACTAAGTTATTTGAATATTGTGCTTTACAATAATCAAATCAGTCTTCATTTCTTGACAATACTTCCACTGTAATATATTTTATTTCTAAGCGTGATTTTCCATTCTATTATGGCATGTTAACCCAAGCTGAGGCTCTCAATAACTCTCACTTGGGATTCAATATATTTAGACAAATGCACATTTGTTTATACACCTAATTTGGCATACAACTGCCTGAGGCTTACTATCCTCCAAAATCCATCTGTGGGTCTTACAAGTTAAGAACTTTTCTTTTGTAGATGCCTAAATTGGCTTTAACTGACATCTTGAACAAGGCAAGATTATTCAGTATTTTTAAAATCACTTTACATTTTTGTATTATTTTAATTTTTAAATTTAAGATGTTATTAAACATTTTATTAAGTGCTTATTATACACCAGGAACTATGCAAAATTTTTATTCCTATTTTATAGATGAGGAAACAAGTCTAATGGTATTGTGCGAAGTCTACTTCACAATCTGTGGCAGACCTGGACTAAAACTCAGGTCAGTCTTTTAAGGATCACTCTGATTTCCTTTCTTTTTGCACCCTCTTTTCTTCTCCTGTGGGCTTTATCTTATGAGCATATTCCTAGTCTCCCTGATTTAGTCAGGATAGGCTATATATCATGCACAATAACAGAAGATAAACCTCCAAATTTCAGTGGCTTTGCACAATGAAGGTTTATTACTCTGTCACATAAAGTCTGATGCAGGGACTGGACTGTGCGTTTCCTGCATCTTATAGCTATGTCATCTAGAACATGTGGCCTTAAAAGTAGATGTTTCAAGTGGACAGGAGAGAAGTGGAAAAAGCACAGTAGTTTTCCCTGCCTCAGCCCAAAAGTAATACATTATAGAATCTTAGAAAATCCTATCAACTTTATAATTCTTGCTACCATCACAGAAAAATACATTCTATTTCAATGCCAGCTCAAAGAAATACATTTGCCTACATATTATATAAGCTCAGCCATTTTTTTTTCTGCATAATATTTTTCCATCTTTTCATCTCTGTAGCAACCCGAATCTCCCAACCTACAGATAATTGTTATCGGAGGTGTGAGAAAAGGAAAGCTTTTGGTGATTCCAATTTGGGCACATTGGATATTCACTTCTTCTTGTGAGTATTTGGCTTCTGGTGAGGTATAACATCTGCAGTGAATCCAAGAGACACTTGTGTACTTCGCCACCTCAATGCCAAAGGGGACACCTAAATCTGTGAATAACCATCCCTATGTCCAGCATCTACACAACAAAATAACAAGATTTTATAAATCCACCAAAGCACTTTGAGAAAAAGTTAAACCTCTGTAACAATATGCCTGGATAGCAACCACAAAAAATATTACACAAAGCCCAGAGGTAAAAACAAAATATAGAAGCAATCAAATGGTGCCATCCTTCAAAAAGAAAATACCTGATGTTGGAAAACTGCCTTACCCAAATATAAGCGGAAGAGGAAGACAAGCTGCTACTCCGGAAATGGTTTGCCTCTATTAATCATGACAATTCTTTTGAATTTTTTATCCCCCTGCCATTTGTTTTCTTTTTCTTCCCAACCTCAGTAAATGACAGCTATATTTATTGAGCTATAGGCTTCGAATTAGGGTGTGTGTGTGTAAGTATGTATTCTACACAATTTCTAAGTGTCCTAGTAACATGGTAGATGTTCTCGGATCAAAGAATCTCCATTTGCAGATTCAGTGAAGGAAACTTAAGTTTGAGGAAGGTAAGTTATTTCTTCATAAACCTATTAAGTTGTGAAGTTAAAATTCAAATCCTTGTTGGGATCACCTCAAAGGAAGCCCCCTTCACCAGATTCAAAAGGGGTACACAAGACCTCCTGCAACTCTTCTTCAGCATTTCAAATAAATACATCTGACTCTGCTCCACTTGGAACAGTAAATATATGGTAGAAATAACTAAAGAGACTGGGGGGACAGGAGCCTTGAGGCTTTTCTGTTTTTTTTTTGTTAAAGTCTTGAACGACAATCCAGCCAGGTTACTAAGGATCACACAATGTACTCTCTGTGTTCTTGCATGCTTTCACTTCACCAATTAATTCATTCATTTATCCTTTCATGGGTTTAATTGTTAATTTATTAACTCAACTTTCTTTTCTTTCATTGTTTGCCCTACTTCTGAATGCTCTGATGTTTGCTCCTTCCTTAGACAAACCTCCACACCCAGAGGGACTATATTCAAAAAAGGATTCCTTCCCAGTCCTCTGAGTAATGAGAACTCCAGACCCACCCTGCCACACCCAGTTCTCCACTTACTGTGACCACTGCTAGTTTTATCAGAGGGCCATATGGCAAAACCAACTGGCAATAAAGCACTTGAAAAAAATTCAGATCTCATCAACAGATTGGTTTTATTTCAGTGGTAATTTTGCAAAGGGAGGAAGTAGACTTGAACTCCTGAAGGCTCTAAAGCTAGGAAGCTCTGAGTTCAAATCCTGATTCTACCAAGTCTTATTGTGGGATCTTGAGCAAGTTATTTAAATACAAAGTTGCCACTTGTACTGGCAGGATAAAGATGGTACCTAACCCATAGGTTAAAAGAGGGTTACAGGATCATGTAAAATACTTAGAACATGTGACAAGACACATGTCAGTCACAGTTAGGTTCCAGTGAAAGTAGGAGATGAGATACACAGAGCAGAATAATGTCAAGAGTAGCAATTGGGTTACTCTTGAGGGAATGTAGGGGAGAAAACTTATGTTTTTCTTCTGCCTATCTTGGGTTCATTGGCTGGTTACCCTGTAACAAAAGACAGATTACAAAGACAAAAGCATGCATACTTACTTAAGTTTTATGTAACAAGGGAGGCTTCATTAGGAAATGAAGACCCAAATAAATGGTTAAAGCTGACTGTTTTATAGTCAGGTGAATGAAGAATGGAGAGTTGTAGAAAAATATGATAGGAGGAAAATAAAGAGTATGAACTAAAAGTAATAAACTGGGGGAAAAAGCAAGACCTGTTCATTCAGATTCCTCTTGGTGTCCTTGGTCTTGGAGATAAGGATGTTCCTTTCCTCCAGGTGTAAAAGGGCATTTCTCATATGAAGGTCTTAGGACTTCCTTCAGGGGAGAAGGAAAGGGAAAGGTCAGAGAGACCTTCTTGCATATACTGCTTCTCAATTTCCTTCAGCTTAAAATATTCAATATGCCAAAGGGCTATATTTTAGGGTAGCATGTCCTGAACCTTCTGTTGGAAACAGATGCTTGGTGCCACAAAGAAAAATCAGCACTGAGACAAAGGATCTCTCAGCAAGGCAATCTTTACTTCCTGCAGAAAGGGTACCCTCGCCAACAGTCTTTCTGGGAGAGTACAATGAACAAAGGAAAAGCAGACATATTTATCCCTTATACATTTGGGTCATCCTTATGCTGTGTCTCATCTTTGTTGGTTGAAACCAGACCTCACAATCTAAAACTGAACCAGATTGGCTAATAACTTAAAATTTTCTTGAATAGGTAAAGGCAATGGATAACAAAAGGAAAAGAGGAAATCCAAATATGGAAGGGACAGGAAGTTACTTGCAAAAGGACTTAGAAAAATAATAGCATAAATATCTTGGTTAAAATACAAGGACGTAGAATGCACTACAAGCCTGTGAGCATGTTTAACAGTTACATAGGCTATGGCTTAACAAGGAGTTATCAGCAAAAAGCAAGAAGGCTTTGAAGAAAGTCTTCAAAACAAACTGTTATTTCTAACACTTATGATTTATTAACAAGAAAGGAAACTTTGAAGAAAGACTTTTCTATTTCCCATACCCCCTGAGGAACATGGAGCAAGGAACATACAGTGATTGTCAAGACGTCTGCTCCAAACTGTTTTGGAAGGTTGGGTCTTGCCATGTATCCCCCAAAACTGATAGTCTCCTTGTAGAGAAGAGACATTCATCATCTCTACCATAAAATGAAGTAAAAGTTTGTCAACTGCTCCTTGCTCTCTTTTTTTCCCATATGAACAAGACTTACCAAAAATCCCTGAATATTTCTGGCTGGATATTTTTTGTTTTACAAATTTTGGACCAAATTCACTTTTTCATTCAAATTTATTCTCTTGCAAATTCCAGGCTATATTCATGATCCTTGAGGGCTTGAAGCCTTCATATTCACATGCTTTAGTCTCATCCTCAAAGTTTGAGGCTTTGTGTAGCAACAATCCTGAGCTAGGATGTTCAGACAACCATCCATTCATGCTACTGGAGAAAATGACTTTTCCAAGTTTGTCATTGCTGGGTCATGATAGCCAGCTTGGGCTTTTGCCCATACAATTGCCCACTGCTTGTGCTTGGCTGCTTGCCCTCTTCTCCATGGCTGTGATCTGCCCAACCAACACCCTGCTTAATTTAGGCCCCACTGAATTGACAGTTTCACGTGGAATTACTCTTTCTTTTTGTGTGATAGCTTTTTTAGGTCAATCTTGATATGCTGACTTCTGAGAGAGCCTTATTCTTTGACTTAACAGGATAGAAGCCTTCATGTTTAAAGTAACAACTGCTGGTTATTGATTTGCAAACTACCCCACAAGGCCCTCCAAATGGAGCAAGGTAGGGGGTACCTGTGAGGCAAGGTAAGGTGTGAGCAGACCAGCTGAGGGGAGCCTCCCTTCCTCCCTCCATCCCAATCAGAACAGCTCCTTCTTTATCTGTTTACATATTGTGCTTCAAAACAGGTTTTTACTTGAAAAGGGATTATAATAAAGGTTGAGTACTTCTGGCCTGAACTGACTCCCTTATTAAATAGGACTAAAAGTTTCAGAGTGCTATGACTTGGTGCTCTTTGACTACCAGCCTTGTTTCTCAAATTGGAGCCCATGAATTTGGCTTCCCCCCATCTTTCTTATTCAAAAGATGATTACTAAAAATATATTCTATGGAGGTGAATCTAAGCATAACAGGACACCTCCAAACCTTCTCCAAACAAGACTGAGTAATAGAGATCTACCTCATGTTGTGTGAATGTCTTAATCCTAGGTTCCGGGTGCCAGATTTAGACCTCTAAGATCATGTAAAAAGTATTTTCCAGGAGGCTTTATGGGTCTCATGTCTGCCTTGGCAGCCCAGAAATCCCTGAGGCAGGCTGTATACGTTAGACTCTGAAAAACCCTCAGAGTCATGAAAAACAACTTGGTAATGTCATTTAGTAAATGTAACACTAAGCAAGTGTTTTTCCCATTACCAATAGATTATAACATTTTTTAAATTTCCCATTTCTCTCAAAGAAGGATAGGCCCCATGGAAGAGATAATAAGCTCAGTTTCCTACTCCACTAATATTGCAAAAAAAGAGAGAGAGAACATGCAGAGCAATAGCTTAATAAAATTAATAAGCACATGACCCTTTCCTGATTTCTGCCCATCCATTCCCTCAACACAAATAAATGCCAGTGATTTTTTTTTTTTAAGAAATAGGTTTTCACTCTGTGATCCAGGCTGAAGTGCAGTAGCATGACCTTGGCTCGTTGCTCTGGCTAGGATTTCCAGAACTATGTCAAAGAGGACTGGTGAGTGCGGGTACCCTTGTCTTGTTCCTGTTCTCAGAGGGAATGCTTTCAACTTTTCCCCATTCAGTATTATGTTGACTGTGGGTTTCCCATAGATGGCTTTTATTATATTAAGGTATGTCCCTTGTATGCCGATTTTGCTGAGGGTTTTAATCATAATGGGATGCTGGATTTTGTCAAATGCTTTTCCTGCATCTATTGGGATGATCATGTGATTTTTGTTTTTAATTCTGTTTATGTGGTTTATCACATTTATTGACTTGAGTATGTTAAACCATCCCTGCACCCCTGGTATGAAACCCACTTGCTCTTGGTAGATTATCTTTTTGATATGTTGTTGGATTCAGTTGGCTAGTATTTTGTTAGGGATTTTAGCATCTATGTTCATCAAGGATATTAGTCTGTAGGATTTTTTTGTTTGTTTTTGGTTGTTTCTTTTCCTGGTTTTGGTGTTAGGGTGATGCCGGCTTCATAGAACTAATTAGGGAGGGTTCCTTCTTTCTCTATCTTGTGGAATAGGGCACACACTATTTAATCTATAACAGATGGGTAAACTGACTACTATATTTCTGTAATTATAACCAAAGCAGTATGTTCTGTGAAAGAGGGCAGTACAAACCATGGAGGAGGGGTGCCTAACTCAGATTTATCCCACAAGGTTAGGATTATGAGAGGCTACTGAATTCTGCTAAGATGTTGATGTACGTAAATGATAATCAGCTAGTATTCTGGAGGTCACAAAATTTGTAATGTCCCCAATGACTCCTGTAGATAATAGCACTATTGTAGAACCAAAGATTAAACTTTTCAGGTGTCTTTCAGACTTTTTCATTTCTGAGGACTAACTCCACCCAAACCCACAACTCATGACTTAACTGGTTCTGTGGCCCAGAGGCTGACTCAGTGAATATTGTCCACACCCCTAAGGTTGCATCCCCAACCAGTCAGCATTTCCCATTCCCTATCCCGCTGCCCACCAAACTATCCTTAAAAAGCTCTAGCCTCTAAGCCTTTGGGGAGATTGATTTGAGCAATAACTCCATCTCCCACATGGCCAGCCTCATATTAAACTGTTTTTTTACTGCAATACTATTGAAATCAAACCAATTAAATTCTCAGTGAATTGATTTTGTCTGTTCAGTACACAGGAAAAACCCATCAGATGATTGCAGAAGAAAGGAAAAGAAAAAGTAAGAAGGATATGATTTGGGGGACCTCTTCCAGTGGGGCCTGTAATCATAGTATACAACTCTCTGGAACAAAGGTGAACTCCAGTCTCTTAGAGAAAAACAATTGCCCATCCTTATTACTCAATGGTTTTCCTAGATTTGGACACAGAATTCAGTCCATCATATAGTCTACCCTAAGGCATGATTCTGTGAGCCAATAAAGTTTGCTTCTGTGTCTCTGACCCTCACATACACCAAAAAATCCTGACTAATTCTCCTCCCTCCCCACCTGCACAAACACAAATAGAATGTTTTCTCTTATGTATTTTATATATTATTATATATTATAAAAAATATATTTCATATGTAGTTGGACTTTTATATATTTATGTTATATATAAATATATAAATGTATAATATATATTTATACATTTATATATAAATGTATATGTTTATATACATTTATATATAAATTTATTATATATTATTTATATACATTTATATATATAAATTATACATTTATATATAATATATATTATATTAACATTTATATATTAAATTATATTTTATTATATATTTTATAAAATATTTATTTGTATAATATATGTTTATATATTATATATACGTATACATGGAAGTAAAGGCTCCAAGGCTCCCATACTGTTTCCTCTGCCTTGCACTACTACGTGTTTGATATACACAACTTTTCAATGTTTTGGCAGCTTCACCTACAATTTTTTTTAAAAACAAGGAGCAGGAGGTGATGGTAATCATCACAGCTTATTTTTTCTTGTCACACGGAAAGAAACAGATCTTTGTGGAATAATTTAATCTTTTGAAGGCTGACCCAGAAACACAAGTAACAGCTATCAATGCCTCTTCCAAGCCAGTGAGGCTACAAGAACAAGGGTGTCCAATGCTTCTTTTGAAGAAAGCTTTAAATTCATCTCACTAGTTTGGAATATGAGAAAAATATTTTAAAATGCATCTCTTGGCCTCTCTTGTTTTGTTGTTTCCTTCCTGCTACTCTTGGCGAGTATTAATAAAGGAGATGGGAAAAGTGAAAAACACAAGACAGAACTATATTTTTTTCACTTTTTTTGCCACTGAAATGAAAAGATTATAATAATAATACTCACCATTTATTAAACTCTGCTAAGCACATCATGGCCTGATTCAATCCTTTTAGCATCATACAAGGAAGTTATTATCTCCCCTTTACAGAGAAGGCTGTGGCTGGGGAGGTGGGGGTTGAGAACTCGCCTGAAGTCATAGCACATCCTAACTGCTAGAAACTATTTTCTAAACTAGGCACTTCACACTGACCATCTTATAAAGTCTCACAGCATTCCTGGAATAAATGCATTATTGTCAACATTTTTACAACTTACAAAAGGCTAAGTGGCACATTGAGGGCAGAATTCAAACTGAGGTCTTTCCAACTCCAAAACGTGTGCTCTGACTACTGTACCATAAACTTTCTCTTATCTTCTCAGAACAAACATACTGAAACTGCCATAGTTTCAGAACTGTGATAATCGATGCATGGTCCCCATTGGTAGATTTAGTGTTTTACAATAGAGTTTCTCAAAAGCAGTTTTAAAATATCCTTCAGCAAGCATTTACTGAGGCCTCCTCTAGGCCAGGCCTTGGGCTGGACATTGCAGGCATGGCCACAGTAAAGATGACTCAGAACTTGCCCCCGGCGGGGGGTCATAGTCTGGGAGCATTGGGTAGAGGAGCAGAAAGTAAATTAGAAAGCACAACACACAAAGCCACACACTTGTATAACACACACTCAGTAAATGGAGGCCCACTAACCCCCAGAGCAGGGTTTCTCAACCTCGGCATAATTGCATTTGGGGCTGTCTGAGTCTTTGTTGTGGAGGCTGCCTGTGCATTGTGGGGTGTTAGCAGCATCTCTGAATCCTACTCAGTAGCTGCCAGTAACCCCCCTGCACCTGTTCCCCTTGTGACAACCAAAAATGTCACCAGACATTGCCCAATGTCTCCTGAGGATCGGGGAGCGAGAATCACTGTTCCACAATTACATCCTGGCAGAAATAAGCAATAAAACAAAATCAGTGGCCATTAATAATACTACATGATTTTTAAGTAAGAGCTTATTTGCACACCAAGTACCTTAAAATCCTGATCTCGTCCCATCCTCATCAAAACCTAATGTGTGCACAAGCTGGAATGATACCTATTTTATAGGATAGGGCAGGGAGGCACAAAGAGTTTGGTGGATGCCTAGCTGCACAATAGTGACTGATAGAGCTAGCATTTGAATCCTGTCCTGCCATCTTAGTCAGTGCACCGAGATGCAAAAAGCATTTCTAAAGTGTACTAGGCTCTTTCATTTTTATTACATGTTCACTGCTATGGTTTGGCTCTATGTCCCCACTCAAATCTCATGTCCAACTACAAGCCCCACATATTGGAGGAGGGACCTGGTGGGAGGCGATTGTATCATGGAAGTGGATTTTCCCCTTGCTGTTCTTGTGATAGTGAGTGAGTTCACATGAGATCCAATGGTTCAACAGTGTGGGGTATGTCCCCTTTGCTCTCTTTCCTGCCACCATGCGAAGATATGCTTGCTTCCCCTTCACCCTTCTGCCATGATTGTAAGTTTCCTGAGGCTTTGCCAGCCATGTCTCCCATACAGCCTGTGGAATTGTGAGTCAAACCTCTTTTCTTCACGAATTACCCAGTCTTATGTATTTCTTTATAGAAGTGTGAGAACAGACTAATACATCCACAGACTGACCCAATCTAAAACTAGTAACATAAAGGAATGAACATTTATAATTTTATACAGGGTTATCCTTTGTGAATATTCATCTTATCCATTCTGGGCCTAATTAATCTTGCTTATGTTGGATGATTTGGTTATGGGAGTCTTGCTTTAACCAGGGAAAATATGTACTAATTCTGAAGAATGTAATACATTTCATATCTTGATTTATGTTTTGGCAGTTCAACCATGCACTGTGTGGGGGCCAAAAAATCCCTAAAGATAATCATATGATATTGGCTAAGACCAAATGCAGCCACTTATTTCTGTTGGTATGTCTTAATGAGGCAAAAAAGCAGACCTAGATGCCTCTTCTTTCTTAAATTAAAAATGAAACAAGATAAACAAAAAAACTTTGAGAGAACTCAAAGCTTAGTAGAAAGTTTTTGTTTAAATTGCCAATTCTATCATTCAAGCAATGCAAGTAAACTGTCCTCAAATAACTTTTCTAGGTATTTTTCAAAAAATTCTAAGTAGAATATTTGCTTTATAGGCATGGTTTTTAAATAGTTCACTGTCTAGGCTTAGATAACTTGGATAGAATAGTTATTATTTAATATTCAATATTTTACTTCAGCAGACTATTAGGATCTGCTCCTTGTGACTCAGTTTTTTGTATCTATGATCTGTTGGTTTATTACCCAAATCTGATAAGTAAACATCAGCATAGAAAGCTTTACTGTCGCTGAAGTTTTATTAAATAAATGAATGTAATTGTGGATTGTTGTCTGTGAAGTTAGGACCTGGAAGAGAAGAAAGCTACCAACAACATTCAAACTGAGAGAGGCCAAAATACTAATTCATAATTAGCCTGGTACATATGAAGGATCAAAAGGAAGAGGACTCTATGTCTGACCTCTGAGAGGTATGTATCAGTATACAGCCACGCCAGATGATGTCAGGTGGTGTGTTGTGGTGTCAATGACTTGATTTGAACGAAGAATCACTTGTAGGTTGGACACTGTTTATACACCTGACTCAAATTTGCCATTGTACCATTTAAGTGGAAACAAAGGAGAGCCAGATCTGCTAGTTAGTGGAGTAAACCTCTCACAATAAGAAGGGAGACTGGCCAACTTAAAATACAAGGCAAGTTATTTTCATGCACTTGTAAATTACATTATGAATAAGTGTTGGGAAACATTGGGCTGATAAAAAATTTACTATTGATATCTTCTAATGCTACATGAAGCAAATATGAAATAAAGAACCATTCTGAACGTAATCAAACTATAGATATTTCACATATTTCCACAACTAAGTGTTTTCACTAATTCTTATAGAATGTCCCCCATTCACCACAAATATGTCTGCCCTATATTAAAACAATAAGCTATTTAAATAATAGGGCTTGTGTTCCTGTATGCATAGGAAATGGTTCAATTCTTTCTGGTGCAATCAAACATCCTACCCCACTGTCAATCTGGCCATCTCCTACTCTTCTTTTTAGGTTTATACTTAAATGTCACTTTGATAATGGTTTATTCCCTAACCTCCTAATTGTAATTAAGTTCCCATGTACATTCCCTCTTCAAATTTGCATTTTATTCCTAGCATTTATAGCAATTTATAATTTTATGTGTGTGCCTCTTTAACGCCTGTCTTCTCATTTAATACCTTTTCTACCCCTGTGTATGCAGGCCCTAGCACCATAGTAGAGACTCAGCATGTGTATTTAATGAAGAAATAGTGAATATATCAGCAACAGAAATAAGAGTGACCGTAACTTCCTTAAGAGAGGCAAAGAGCAGCTCCTGCTCCTGGTAAGCCCTGACTGTATTTTGTTTCTTTTCCAAAGATGTCTGTGATATTCCTTGTTGTATATTTATAACAAAATTATTTTATCTTGAGCCAGCTGGAATGAGCTTCTGTTTCTTGCAACAGAAGTATCCTAAGTTAGAGCCAGAGGATGGGGGCACATTGACAAAACATAAAGCGAGTATGATAATAACAAGGTACCATTCCAGCAAGAACATCTGAAGAAAGAAGCAATGTCTCAGTATTGTTTATCTTTCCTTCATCTATTCTGAAACTAAAACCCTTAACCAAATTTATTTCCAAAGTTTAACCCTTTAATAAACTAGCCTCTGACTCCACCTGGTGGAGATACATAAATCTGTGAAAATAAACCGATACAAGTAAAGATTCAAAAGTCACCAGATCTCTTTCAGTCTCAAAAAGAAAACACACACATATCCCAGAATTCAAATAGATGACCATCCGAGATGTGTTATATGCACTCAGAGGTCCTGAAGAAGAAATAGTTTGAGTTGATCATTTGACTGTTGCTCTCAGCCATAATTTCTGCCTTTCTAGGTTGTATCAGGCATTTTGAGTGTCCAGAGACCCTGCATATTCTATTTTCCCAGTTACTTACTGCTAAGGTTTTAATATTTGTCTCCCTCCAAAACTCATGTAGAAATTTAATCCCAAATATGGCAGTATTCAGAGGTGGAACTTTTCAGAGGCGACTGGGTTATGAGAGCTCTGTTCTTATGAGTGGATTAATCCATGCATGGATTAATGGAATAATGGGTGAACGGATTAATGGGTTTTCATGGGTGCGGGACTGGTGCCTTTATGAGAAGAGGAATAGAGATCTGAGCTAGCACACTCACCCCCCTCACCATGAGAGGTTCTATGCCACCACGGAACTCTGCAGAGTCTCACCAGCAAGAAGCCACTTACCAGATGTGGTCCCTTGACCTTGGACTTCTCAGCTTCCATAACAGTAAGAAATAAATTTCTTTATAACTTACCCAGTTTCGGGTATACTGTTATAAGCAACCGAAAATGGACTAAGATACTTGCCAATGGCTCCTGGTTAGTTTCTACCAATAAGTACTGGCAGAAGTTCGAAAGGTAGGAGTGGTGAGAAGGGACCTTTTTTATTTTAGTTTCTATTGGCATTTTCCAGCAGCAAGGAAAAGCGGGCATTTCATCATCATCTTTTAGCATTCCCAGCACCCACAGCAAGGAGTCCCTTCACCTGCTGAGTAGCAGCCCCTCGGTAATCCTAGCGTCTATTTTAGGTGGTTCTTCATTTGCAGTTTCAGGACTGGCCCAGGTAGTTCTCTTCTCCATGATTCTGAGCTCTAGTGATTCTATCACTTCCATGTACTCCTTCAGCCACAAGTGTTATTGCTATTCCCAGTAGCCTTTAGCATACAGTTACCTAAATGTGCCCAAATTCCTGTATTATATTCCTTTGTTTGAAAAACCTTGAGTGATTTCTGACTCACTTCTGTCTCAAGGCCTGAATATTCTGATTCAGATGAATTTCAGATAATGGAAAACAAACAATTTAGTGAATAGAAAAGATGAAATATTTTTTAGAAAACCATGGAAGACAAAAAAGCAACTGGAAGTCACACACACACACACACACACACACACACACACACACACACTTTTAAGTCTAGAAGCTATAATAAATTATGGTAAAAGAGTGATAAGTTTGCCTACATGAATATTGAAGTCTTTTAAAATTTTTAATCTAAAGAAAAAAGTGTACCAATACAACAGAAAATTTCAGACTGGAAAAATATTTGTAGTCATTGTCTTAGTTTGAGCATTTGTCAATTGCATTACAGCAAAACCCTCCAAACTGCTCTCTCTGCTTTGAGTCTCTTCTTTTTCCAAACCATTTCTGCATATTGTCAAAGTTACATTTTTAGGGAACAAAGTAAATGCTGTCACTATGCTCTTTGAATTATGAGTCAACAAAGAGATTTTTTTAAACTGATTAATTTTATAATTATCCACAGAAATGCATATTAAAAGGGCAGTGAGGTGTCTGCTAACTCTTCGCTCTCTTGGATACAGCTTAATTTCTTCTTCGAGGGACATTTTTCTGAATCTTGTTCTTATACAATTATAGCAATTTTTCTTTCTTTCTCTTTCTTTTTCTCTCTCTCTCTCTCTCTCTCTCTCTTTCTTTCCTTCTTCTTTCCTTCTTTCCTTCCTTCCTTCTTTCCTTCTTTCCTTCTTTCCTTCTTTCCTTCCTTCCTTCCTTCCTTCCTTCCTTCCTCCCTCCCTCCCTCTCTCTCTCTCTCTCTCCCTCTCTCTCTCTCTCTCTCTCTTTCTTTCTTTCTTTCTTTCTCTTTCTTTTCTTTCTTTCTTTTGAAACAGGGTCTCACTCTGTCACCCAAGCTGGAGTGCAGGGGTGTGATCTTGGCTCACTGCAACCTACGACTCCTCGGTTCAAGCTATTCTCATGTCTCAGCCTCCCAAGTAGTGAGATTATAGGTATGCACCATCACACCTGGCTCATTTATTTCTGTATTTTTAGTAGAGACAGGGTTTCACCACGTTGGCCAGGCTGGTCTTAAAGCCCTGACCTCAAATGATCCACCCACCTCGGCCTCCCAAAGTGCTGGGATTACAGGTGTAAGTCACCATGCCCAGCCAGTTACAGCAGTTTTGAAAACAATATTCTAATCA